AAAATATTACGTGCAATTATTCTCTTTAACTATAATGAGCTCTCTAATGATTCAATACTGTATCTTACAAAAAAAGGAACAGCTGCAAGAACTGATTTTGCCAGAGCTGTTTGAAAATTGAATAGAACAAGCTTCTTTCTATACGACTATTGGTAGAAGATGCTCAAGCTGTCTTCATGGGGCAGTGAACTTAACAGTACTATTGGAGATGGGGAGAGGACTCATTAAGGATCACCATTAAGCCACCAGAGATGATCTGTGGAGGCCAAAGGCAACAACGGTAGCAATGAAAGGGAAGCCAAAGGTTAGTAGGGCCAGAACCGGAAGCGCTCAGAAGTAAAGGTATGGTAGTTCTTGACTTACAACAGTTCAATTGGTGACCGTTTAAAGTTACAACAGCATTGAAAAAAGCGACTTACGGCCAATACAGCATCCCCATGGTCATGTGATTTACATTCGGATGCTTGACAACTGGCTCCTATTGCTGTGCCTCTAAGTCATGGGATCACCTTTTGTGACCTTCTGATAAGCAAAGTCAATGGAGAATCCAGATTTATTTAACAACCCTGTTACTAACTTAACAACTGCAATGATTTACTTAACAAATGTGGCAAGAAAAGTATGCCATTTTTATGCTGGGATAGCTCTCCATTTATCCCAGCTTATTTCCAGAATTTTGAGTAACAATTGGGGGGAATACATATAAATGGCTGTGTGTGTGTATGTTCCAACATAACTCTGGAACGCCTCGAGCAATTTCAACCAAACATGGTACACAGATAACTTACTTTCTGGAGAAAAATACTGTGGGGGTAAGAAACCCTAACACCCCTTGGTGGATGTCTTCTGTTAAGATATAGCCTGTTATGCCGTACTGCTGACTTCTACTGTACAGTGCAGTGGAGTTGCCATGGTAATGGCTTCACAGTACTCCAGGACGGGGCTCCCTCTGGTAAGGCGGACAATCCAACATTAGAAATTACGTTTGGTCCTGACATTTTCTCCCAATAAATAAATACCCGAGTAACGCTGGATTATCGGCTAGTAGATTTATAAAAGCATTTGTGTCAGGCTTCAAACTCAAAGACATGCATGCTTATTCTGCAATAGGTCCCTCAATTCAAAAATCCTTCCTCTTAGTTAAGTAATAGTAGTCTTTGAGCAATTCATTTAGTAACTATTTGAAATTACAACAGCATGGAACAAAGTGTATTATGATTGGTCCTTGCACTTCTGACTATAGCAGAATCCTCATGGTCATGGTCACATGATCAAAACTTGGGCATGGGTAACCAGCATGTATTAGACCAGTTAAAGAATCTCCAGATTATTTGATTGCAGTTTGTGGCCTCCCAACCAGTTTCTGACAAGCAAAGTCAATGGGGAAAGCTAGATTTACTTAACACCATGTGATTAATTTAACAATTGTAGTGATGCGCTTAACAACTGTGATAAAACAGGCTGTAGAATCATGGATGTCTTATTTAACAGCCATCTTGCTTAGTAACAGAAATTCTGATCCCAATTGTGGTTGTTCAGTGAAGGACTACCTGCTTGCTCAGAATTTTAGTGGATAAATTTAACCACCTGCTAAAATCCAGCTTTTTTTATCCCTTCCACATCTATAAAAATAGGGTTTGCAATGGACAGCCTCTTCTGTCCACCAACAGCCTTTAAGACCCTAGTTTTACAGGCTCCACAGAGATAGAAGATCCTCCAATGCAGGCAACCACGCTCTTCACAAAAAGGATGACAACAAGGATGCATGGTCATCTCTGATCTCTCTCTGGAGCAGAGGTGGGAAATTACTTTTTCCAAAGAACAACACGAAAAACTGGGACTGTTGTGGAGGCCATCCCCCACTCCCACCCCGTTGAAGCACCGCTAATGCTGTGGGCTGGACAGGGATAGTCAAAGGGCCAGATGTGGCCTCCGGACTGTAAAATGCCCCGGTTTGCTTTCAAGTGATGACAGCAGTTTTCTTTTATCTTTTGCTGCTCTTTAAGAAAGTGATTGTGCTTTAATTGTTTCCAACTCTTGCCCACTCATCTGTATGTGTTTTTCCTATTGTACAGTTTCCTCACTGAATTAAGACAACCCGTACACATGATGATTATTGTGCCTTGAGATCCTGCAAATGGGAAACTCCCAACCAACTATGACCATGTAATGTCCTAAGATCCAGAAACAATAGCAATAGCAAGAGTTCTTTTCTTTCTTCATTCTTGCAGAAAATATCTAGTTAAATAATATTTCCATATGGGCCCAACAGAAGAACCAAAAAGCATAGCAAATGAATATTTAAGTAATAACATCAAAATCAATTTGAAGACAGATGGCAAGTTATTAGTGAAAAGAACATTCATGGATATTCTGTACTAGTGTCCCCTTGAAACTGGAAATGTACTTTGGTTGACATTTTCACCTAGAGACAGATGGACTTGGCAAGGAACATTTTTTCCCAGCTGGCTCAGAGAACGCCGATACTGCTAATCTCAAATATTTGCATCAAGAGCAACAGACAGATGGGTCTCTGTGCCAATTTATTTAAATTATACATGCTTAATCCTAACTCAATTGCTACCACTTTAAACTATAGTTCTGTAATTCCTGAGCCATTATGTGTCAGCACCTAGCCAAATTTAGATGATCTGAAAAAATTAGGCCCTGTTTAGTCCTAGGTTAAGGTTAGGGTTAGTTAGTATTCAAATTCAATTTGGAGGTTTTAATTAAAATTCAGGTAGGGGAGGGAGGGGAATGGCTGTATAGATAGATAAGATAGATGGATGGATGGATGGATTGATGGATACATGATAGACAGATGATGGATGGGTAAGTAGATGGAGAGAGAGATATCATGGATAGGTAAGTAGATGGATGGATGGATGGATGGACGGACGGACGGACGGACTGACAGACAGACAGACAGACAGACATATTGTTCAGCAAAGGGGATTTCAGTTTTCACCCTATACAGCAGGCTCTACACTTACCTTCTTCCTTCACAGGTGATAAATATCACTTTAATAAGAGCCCCCTACATTACTTGGTTGCAGAATAAGTCCCTGTCCCCCTTTTTGCAGCTACTTCATAATTTAGGAGACATGCTACAATCAAATGAAAACAAGATCCTCTAATATTTAAGGGTTAATTTTTTTCCCTACATGATGATGAAGAACCTAACCATGGGTATCACTTTTGATCTATCTGGATGTGAGAGCACGTGGAGGCAATTCCATGAGAAACAGGCCTTTAGGAGCTCAGTCTTAAATGGACATCTATCAAAATATTTGCTTAAGAGGTTATTCTCATCATGAGCCCTGGGGTGGCGCAGCGCTTAAGAGTGCATTACTTCAAGTTACTTCTGCTGACTGCCGGATGCCAACCACCAGCAGATTGGCAGTTTGATCCTGACCAGCTCAAGGTTGACTCAGCCTTCCAACTTTCCGAGGTGGGTAAAATGAGCACCCAGATTGTTGAGGGCAATAGGCTGACTCTGTAAACAGCCTAGAGAGGGCTGTAAAACACTGTGAAGTGGTAAGTCTAAGTGCTATTGCTATTAGGTTTCCCTGTTAGCATTGAATGGAATTTTTCCAAAAGAGCGCTATAAAAACCAAGAGAAGTACATTTAGGTACAAAATGCGAAACAGCACTTCACCCTGCCAATTTTTTTAACCAAATTGAAGATTTGGTGGCTGCAGTTGCACAACCTGCTTAAGCACGGTCTAGTTTTTAGCTAATTTCTCTTCGGGCTTATTGCTGCTATGCAAATCCAGTCCATTTGGTTTATTTATATTTAATGTGTAACTCAGAAAAATGGGTTCAATCTGTGACCAGATCAAGCTTGCAAACACATTCAGTGGGATGCAGGTGGAATACCTTTTACTGATTCAAAGGGTTTGTTTGTTTTTCACCCTATTTCAGATAATAGCGGTTACATATATTTAAATGTACGTAGTTAACAGCCAAGCACCTCCAATTGTGCCACTTCTTTCAAATGTATAGAGCAGTGTTTCTCAACCATGGCGATTTTAAGATGGCCGGACTTCAACTCTTAAGAATCCCCCCAGTCAGCTATGTTAGCTGCGGGATTCTGGGAATTAAAGTCCAAACTGTCAGCCCTTGGGCTGCCATTCGCGCGGATGGGTCCAGCGTGTCTACCCGAGGTGGCGCAGTGGTTAAATGCAGCACTGCAGGCTACTTCAGCTGACTGCTAGATCAGCAGTTCAGCGGTTCAAATCTCACCGGCTCAGGGTTGACTCAGCCTTCCATCCTTCCGAGGTGGGTAAAATGAGGACCCGGATTGTTGTTGGGGGCAATATGCTGACTCTGTAAACCGCTTAGAGAGGGCTGAAAGCCCTATGAGGCGGTATATAAGTCTACTGCTATTGCTATTGCTATTGCTACCCCAACACCCTGACAATCAGTTTCCCTGCGATCCCAGCTCTCCCAGATTTGTCCTGCATGCTCCTTCTTCCTCTTGTCCTGCCAGCTCTAGTGGTAACATCATCAGCCTGTAGCAGACGGGGCTTCGGCTAGCTGCAGATCACGTGGCTGGACTCCACTGTTCCCTAGCTGGTGAGCTCCATTTGAATGACATCACCCACCTAGCATCTTGGGTGGGAGTGGGGGTGTTCTTTGCATGGACATTCTCGGGGGGGGGGGGGTGATTGATAGGCGGCGTCATCACTAGGGAACAGGGAGGAGTTGTGGTGTATGGGTAATTAGGGTGGGGTCAAGAGTATATATTACAATGGTGTGGTTAACCAGATTAGAGCTGATCTTGCTTATTTGTGCTGTTCGTCATCTAGTGTTGGCTAGTGTTTTGCAACAATACAGGTAAAGCATTTGCAACACCCTGCTTCTCTGTTTGTGTTCTTGATTAACACCGCAACGTGACACAAACATCTTAATACTGCCAAGGTTGAGAAACACTGATCTAGAGCTTCGCAAAGATTGAAGATTTCTGGCAAAAATAACGAAGGCGGGAGATGATCTACCTGGATGGGTCCTACTGACATGAGCAGGTTTTTCAGCTGAATGTCCGTGGTGGATGAAGAAAGCCCTTCCACTGACACCACACTGGGCTGAGGTTTGCATTCCACCACCCGCAGATTTGGCTTACTTGACATTAAGCGGCCTCGGCCCATCTGGCTCACGATCCCCCTGCCTCTCCCATGCAGAATACCCTGGTGAGAGAAAAAGAATTTGATTTCCTGCTCCTGCTTACGTCATCCGACAGATTTAACACGAAAGTTATCTATTCTCTTAGAAGGTCTGGAAGGCAAATGACTGAAGTTCCATCTGTAAACACAGCTGATGGTCAGACAGTCATAGTTCTCTCAGCTCACTTTCATTGAAATCATGGACCAGGAAACCTATGATCCATTGGTATCATCCTTTCAGAGATACTCTGTTACATCCCCGAGGAAGCATTGCCTCATGGGCACACATGCAGACTCTCCGCCCATTGGCTGAGCCGTTGACAGCTCGGCCGGCGGGAAAAACAACCCCGCGTCATTGGCTAAGCTGCTGACAGCTGTTAGGTATAAATAGCAGCCTGGCTGAATATTATTGCTGCCGGTGCTTACTTCTGTTGTTGCCTGTTAGCTGTTGTTAATTAAACAGAGTTAAATTCCCTCTGTCTCCCCTCAGTCATTACACACCTTCTGAATAGAAAACTTCCTTATGTAAAGAGAGAAACAGAATGAACCAAACAAAAAACAAAAAACCACCCCTTAGTGGGAGATGTCCAGCTTCCCGCCATTGAGTTTTCTTGCAGGAAACTGGAAGGGGAACTCTGAAAATGAGGCTTATGTGATTGTGGCAGTACTGAAGCAGCCACAACTTTGCCCGAATTTGAGTCCCACGGGAATCATGGGCCCTAAACTGTGGATGCTTTCTGTAAGTTAGTCCTTTTGAGGTATGCCATTTTAAAAATTGTTGGTCTCTGATGCACTGTTTCATTTAACTGAAGGTTACAATCAATGACAGACATGAGAGCTTTCACCGTGCATCAATTGGAAATCATAGCGAAGCTCCACTGTAACAAGAAGTTCCATCCCTAGGAGAAGACAGTCCTAAAACAACAAAGCCAAAGCAACACCCATGTCCTTCATGAACTTTTTATTTCCAGCAGTGTACTCAACTCAAATGAACTCTTCCCTCTTTACAACCACTCCATAAGTTCCCCGAAACTCTGACATACAGTTCTGTGTAAAAGTATCCTGCAGTTGTGCAAAAATGCTATAAATTAAGAATGCTTTCAGAAACAGAAGTGTTAATAATTTACTTTTTTATCCATTAGCAAAAAGGGAAGTAAATGAACAGAAGAGAAATCCAAATCAAATCAATATTTGGTGTGACTACCCCTATCAAACAGTATCAATTCTTCCAGGTACACTTGGGCAGTGTTTTTGAAAGAACTCGGCAAGATTCCTTCAAGGTTGTTCCAAACATCTTGGAGAACTAACCCTCAGATCTTCTGTGGATGTAGGCTGCCTTTTGTCTCTTCATGTAATCCTAAACAGATTCGATGATGCTGAGATGTCTGGTTTGAAAGGAGTCCTCAAACTATGGCTTGTGGGCTGGATATGACCCACCAAAGCCATTAATCTTGGCCCGTGCAGGATCACGAGGCTCCCCCGCCCACATTGCCCCACCTACCCACTAGCCCCCACCCACCTTCTGGAGGCCGAGGAGGCCAAAAAGGAGATACATGGAGGCCTCAGTAGGCCAAAAATATGTCCATTTTTGGGTGGCAGAGTTTTCGTGGAGGCCAAAGAGGCCAAAAATGGGATGAGCGCAGGCCTCACGAGTGCAAAAATGTTCCTGTTTTGGGGCAGCAGAGTGGTTCTACAGGTCAAAAAGGCCAAAACCAAGTCCAAAACCAGGTCTGGTTTTGGCCTCCCCAGCCTCCAGAGAGAAAGAGAGAGGGAAAGAGAGAGGGAGGGAGGAAGGGAGAGAGAGAGACACACAAACAGAGGTTCCTCACACACACACACCCAAGGCAGCCACATCCTTTCACTAACTTGCTTTCCACCCCAGGAGCATAACAAATTAAACTTTAATTTGTGTGTATTGTTTAATGGACTGCTAAATTGGCCATGGCTACCCAGTCGCATGACCACCTAGCCACACCCATCCAGTCACATGATCACCTGGCCACAGCCGGTCCAGCCCCCCAAAAGTCTAAGGGGACATGAATTGGCCCGCTGTTTAAAAAGTTTGAGGACCACTGCTTTACCTAGGAGAGACTTTGCTGATGCTTTTTGTTCCTGTGCTCAGATGCTTGACTTGAGACATGCAACTGTCTTCACAACCTCACCTTAGTAGGAAAGTTTGGCTGTTCCTTACCCAGATTTAAGCTTCCTACTATTTCAATTAATGACTGAGTTTCAACCCACTTAAGAAGTTGACGTTCATTAGTACCTGCTTGGCATAATTGGTATAATACATCTGGCGCTAGTTCTACAAAATCCTTGATTTTGTGGAATTGATTCTGCTTTGAAGGTAAAAAGTGATGACAACGAATTTTAATTTGATTTGCATTTCTCTTCTGTTCATTTTCTTTCCATTTTGTTAATTGATAAAATACAAATTATTAACACTTCTATTTCTGAAAGCATTCTTAATTTACGGCATTTTTGTACAAATGCCTAGTACTTTTGCACAATGCTGTATATTGAGGCAATAAATATACATGGGTTAGAAAAAACAGGCTTCTAAACAGTGTTTTATTATACAAAATTACACAGTAGCAAAGATCTTAGAAAAGGATTTGAGCTCAAGGGTTCCCAATACAGTTATCTGCAATGTTAAAATATATTTCCCATCAATTCTGTTTGGTGCTTCCCATGTTAAATATTGGAATCCATCTTATCTGGGAACTATCAGATACCAGAATATTACCTGAGGACCAGCACTCACATGGGAATGTTTTCATCAGCTATAGCTTTTACCAGAAGTCAAAACAACAATCACAAATCTATACCACCAAGAGAAATTATCTTTCTGCTACCTCAACAGCTAATGTAGTTAACAAATTCAGCGTCTCAATAACCCTGAAAAGTTATTTCTTCAAGCAACTAATGAAGATATCAGGACAAACCAGAATCAATACCTTTTTCACTTGATGTATCCCTGGGATATTTTTTAGTCCTTGAGGATACGTAGACTGGATCTGTGATAGATGGTGCTGATGAGGCTGATGTGGTTGCTGCACTGTCCCCTTTGTCAGTGTGACCTTCCGCATCGGCTGATGTCTCTGCTCCGAGAGCTGCGGAAGCCGGTTAGCCGATTCTTCCAAATGAGAAAAGCCAACATTCTCACCACCCTGTAAGAAATGTAAAACATTTTGCTTAAAACATAAACAAAAAGAAAAATCTGCTATGTGCTTTTGGCAACTATACTATGGAATGGAGCTTGGATAACAGATTAAGAAGTATTAAGATAATGCTTCATTCAAAAGAGAATGTACATGGCTTCCTAAAATTGAGAGAGGGTTAAGAAGAGAAGGCATTTAGTAGCACCTGCGTGATTTATTCCTTAGAGTTAGCAATTACAGAGGTTTCTTCCCTCCAGTAGATGTATATGTGAATCAAATGCTTGTACAATTTTGCTCAATGTGAAATCCTTCTAGTTCTGGGGCTCTTAACTCTCAGAATTTTCAGTCAATGTAATTATATAACAAAATGCTGGGCAACCTGTTGCCTTCAGGCACCGCTTATGGCATGAAGGCACTTCATATTGGTGACTGTCAACATTTGGAGATATATTGTACACAAAATAGAAAACATGTTTTGATTCAAGTATGAATCAAACACATTCTGGCTCATGCGCACCTTTTCAGGAAATCAAAACCTGTCCAAACTAAACCCAAATAGCAAATTTCTCTTTCCTGTTTCCCTATTCCTCTCAGATGGCTCCAAAAGTGGGCTGCTATGGGTTCGGCCAATTTCAGGAGAACCCGTAGCTAACATTATGGTTGGTTCAGAGAACCTCCAAATCCCACCCCTGGCTGGCCCTGCCCATCCCACTCTTCCCCTCCCACGAGTCTCCATGCGGCCCGTTTTGGATGCAAGGTAAGTGCAGGCCCCGTGCAGAGGCTCAGTAAGGGGATAAATGGGCCTCCTTAAAGTTCCAGAAGCCGGAAACGGGAGGCAATTTTCGCTCTCCCAGAGGCTTGAGGAAAGCCTCTGGAGCCTGGGGAAGGCGAAAACGCCTCCCCCGCCCCATGGTGCAGGAGGCCAACTAGACTATGTCTACCATGGCCATGCCCACCCAGGAACCGGGAAAAAAACCCGTTGCTGAAATTTTTGAAGCCCACCCCTAGATAATAGGCAAACTAGAGGAAGGTTGACAGCTCTCCACCCCATCTCTGCATGGTCTGTGTACCAGCCAGCTCATCAGTATTTCCTGCATCCTTTCCTTTACCCATTACTGCATCAGACATGTAAAAACAGCCCAGGTTCGAATCCCAGTAAGGGTATGGCCAGCTGATGAGAGCTAAATAGTTTGAAATATATCTATACTAGTCTCCCTTTATTTATCAGCACAAATGCAATACAACAATGGTTTTCTGCCTGGAAGGCTCCTAGGGTAGAGCTGAAAGGCAAAAGGGAAGCAGTATGCTCCCTCCCATATTTGGGCATACCAGGTGCTTTAACATAAATATTAAACAAACAAACAAACAAACAAACAAATAAATGCATGCATGCATGCATGCATACATATCCATATTCCATGGTCATTTTCTGTCAGGAGCAAGAAATCAGCTGAACACAATGTTTATTGCTATTCATCTGTTGACAAGAATCTCACCAGATTCATGCTAAATAAATACTGCAAAATTTTAGAGGTCTCATTTTCATTGCTTCCACCTCATTATCTATTCAAGGATAGACAGCCTTTTTACTCTTCTTCGAAACTCAGGTTCAGATTGGACCACACTTCCTTCCCACCTTAATTTCTATATGGACCTTATGACCTTTCCCTGAACTTCCCAGAATCTTACTTAACTTTTTTTTCCTCCCTGTTTTAGCCACTGACCACCCAAAATAACAGAATGTTTTGCACATCCCTAAGGGAAATGTAAGGATGCTAGATTAAGAAGAGTTGTGATTTTGGTCTGAACCAAGCAGTTTACTGTCTTTTTGTACTAGGCAGTCCTTTTCTAATTATGATTGTTCAAAGAAAATCAAGCCAACCCATGATTATGTGATGTATTCCTTAAAAAAATTTGTGGAAATGGCACCTTGTTATTCTTGAATGAAATATTCCATCCCAAACTCTGAGGATAAATTAAAATCAACACAATTCTAGAAAGGCTGTAAACTCTGTAAAGATCTATGTGTTTTAAACAGACATGATAAACTGAAGATAAGAACCAAGTATATTCCAGGAGAGTTTCCCTCTCTAATATTTTATTCTATATCTTAAAATATCTTAATTGAAGTTGAAGTATCCACAGTGAAATCTTTCTACAATGGTTATAAATCTGCAAAACTTTAAAACTGCATGTATACAGCAGCAGAGAAATGTAATATGTCCCTACTGGTAAATAAACACACTTTCCTACTTTGAGCTGAAAACATTAAATCCCCCTCAGAAACTCATATTTGTATTATTTTTGAATGACAAGCCAAGAGTAGGCTTAGGCAAACTGATCTATCAGAAGTAAAGCTCAGCAGGAGATCCCTTGTCATAGCATGTCTTGAACCGTTGATCTGCAAATAAAAGATTCTGCAAATCTAGAGTGTTAAAAAAAATGAAAATTCAAGATATGGCATATTTTCCCTTCAGTATGGTTATTATATTCATATATCATATTCAAGTGGACATAAACCTTTTTCAAAGGTACAATACAACTTTTCTATAGGCTAACATCTCATTACATGGTCTAAAAACTAAGGTTGTTTTTAACCGTTTTTATTAATTTTAGTTGAAAAGGCAAGAAATTAAATAAGATTCAGAAGCTTCCAATTCCATTATTTATTTTTAGAAAGGTAAGCTCTGATCATGCTGTATTAGGAAGGACGTTAATAAATAAGAGCAACGAAGGAGCACCAGAATTTTGTAAGCTGTACTTTTCTCACAAATACCTTGACAGTTTCACAATGAAGATGAAGTCAGTTGGCTATCAATATTAGCTGGACAATTTTATTTATAACAAACGCTTTGAGGATGTCCTGATAAAATACTGCCCCATTGATACTGTCAGAGCTTCTTGCAATTTGACAGATCAAATCTTATTCTAATTCTTAAAACCGCACAAATAAACGGTATCACTCGTGTGCATTCTGTAGTGAGCAAATTGATTAATCCCTTTCTATAGAAATCTCAACTCTTGATTACACCTATCAGACGTTAAGCACCATTATTCCAAGTGACAACACTTGACAAATTCCCTAACCATCTCTCTCAGCCTTTGTACCCCTGCTAGCTTGTATTAACCCTGATGAAAAATTAATTTTCCTTATCTTCAACTAAACCCCAAAATCCAAATCCGCCAAACTGGCAACTCTTTCTGTAAAGGTATTATGAAAACCTCTAAAAGATTAATTGCATGTCTTCAGGTGACATTAAATTAATTTCTATACTTGTGATAGACATTTGATACTCAGCACTGAGAGGACAGATAACATTGTCAGGATACACAGAAGGACAGTGGTGGAGTGTCCCAGGGCAGCCTCTTATGAATTCTCCTTTTGATAAGGCCATACTTCACTGTCATTGACACTGTTACCGATCTTGCAACCTCAGACCTCACTGCACAGGTTTCTATTAGCTGTGACAATGCTGTGTTTATCCACGTAATCTTTGCTAAAGCGAATTCAAATAATCACCCTAACAGTGAGAGGGATGTACATGCTGGCTAAAGCATTTAAAGAAAATAAGCTAGGCCTGATTTGAGAAATATTGCAAACACAACTCTGCACTCCTATCCTAGCGAAATGAGTTACAGTCTAAAAAAGGAAAGTTACATTTTAGTTTCTATACTGGGGGCCACAACAGGCTGTACCACAACCATATTCCCATTAAGTCACTTTACAAGATTTAATAAATGGCTTGCTTTCCTCAACAATCACTGCTTTTTTAAAATGAAAGCCAGATGAGAAAGAAACTACTATGCAAGTGTCACTTAGGCCTCCTCCGGGTGCCATCGGCCAGACAATGCTGGCTGGCGGCCCCTTGGGGGAGGGCCTTCTCTGTAGCTGCGCCGGCCCTGTGGAACGATATACCCGTGGAGATCCGGACCCTTTCCACTCTCTCGGCCTTCCGAAAAGCCACCAAAACCTGGCTGTTCCGGCAGGCCTGGGGCTGTTGATCAATGTCCAGCCCCACCTAGACAGAATGGATGGCGTGTAATTTTAATAACTGTATTTTTATTTTTAATTTTTTTATCTCATTTCTGTAAGCCGCCCAGAGTCCTACGGGATTGGGCGGCATACAAATTTTATTAAATTTCAAATTTCAAATAGTAACATGAAGTCAACATTCAAAAAAGTAAGTAAGTTTAAAACCAAAGAGTGTAAGGTCACTGCAAAGCTAGCAACTATTTGGTCACATTTGAACACATGTCCAAAAGGTGTTTTTTTTCTAAAGGATAACTGGACTTTCTTTGTTCTTTTTTTTCCCTTTGAAAATGTTTTACTTCTCATCCAAGAAGCTTCTTCATTTTTAACTGACAGGGGGGGAATTCAGTTAGTTAGAAGTGAAGAAGTTTCTTGAATGAGAAACGTTTTCAAAGGGGGGGAAAAAACACTAAGTAAGTCCAGTTGCCTTTTGGGGAAAGTATTTGGGGAACAACCTAACCTGGATGACTAAGAATCTCCATAGACATCTGAAAACTTGTATTAATGAACTCACCAAAATCAATTTCATGACAATTAAATTGAAGAAGTCTTCCTGTTCAAACACTTTTGCGACCTGAGACTTAAATAAAGGGATATTCTTCTAATTGCTTTTAAAGTAAAGGTGAGAAGACCGGAAATGAATTCATTCGGGTTAGCATTCAAAGTTCAGATTCAGACTTATACAAACCTTTCCCCACTGACATCCTTCAGAAATATAGTGCCATATTTATGACACTCAAAATTATGGTTTCATATATTAGTGTAGAATGAAAGAATATTCCAATTTCCTTTTCTTCTGTCCACACTTTCTGAGGGGGCACAAATTAGTTTTTGCCTTAAACATGTAGCTGGAAAACAGGAGAGCTCGTTTTGTGTATGAGAACCATGCATATTAAACTCATATGATTTTCAGCATTTGAATAAAGATACAGAAAGGAAGTTTTACTAATGACAGTTGGTCTTACCTGAACTGTTATTT